ATTTTCTCACTAATTTTACCTCTGAAAACAAGTGACCCCCACCTCCTTCTTTCGCAAATATCTCGACTTGTATTCAAGATAAATGGATATTTTTTTCATTCAAATAAAGACGAATGAACAAGCTTTAAGATGATGCCAATAACTCTACATGCCCAAACATTGACGACAGCCTGATTCCACCACGCTGCCTCACATATGTCTCAACCAGTTCTCAAAGTGACAACTACCGTATTCTGCCTATAACATGACCTGATGTTTAATATGGGGGGGAGGGTGTATGTGTGTGTGTGTAAGTGTGGGGAGTGTGTGTGTGTGTGTGTGTGTGTGTGTGTGTGTGTGTGTGTGTGTGTGTGTGTGTGTGTGTGTGTGTGTGTGTGTGTGTGTGTGTGTGTTATACATAGACTCCTATTTTAAAATTTTTTATTTAGTAGAGAGTTTTACGGCGCTCGCAACTGCATAAGGTCATACGAGCGCCAAGGGGCGGGTGTCAACAGAGAAGTCCTTATAGGGAATCAGACTTACTCTGCTCACCTCTCTAGCTTCAACAGCACAAGGTCTGCTTCAACTATCAAGGCACCCCGGAAATAGCGGGTCACAAGAGTGACAAACATACAAAAGAAGTAGAGGAAATGACAATAGTAAGGATTAGGAAAGAAAAAGCAGCAGTTCCCTGCTGCAGATCAGGCACAGTTATGAGCGTGACATGATGAATCAGCCCATTTACAATTCTACTGTGCTTGAACGAGAAATGTCCCCCCTTTGGGAATGGCCTAAAGACACTACAGTCAGTGGCACTGCCCCGGGGGGGGGGGGGGGGGGGGGGACACTGACTTCACAGCAAGCCCTTTTTGTATAAATCTAGGTCGTGAGAATAATACAAGCTGAGTTTCTGACATGACAGAGGCTGCTCATCACAAGGCTGGGAATTCAAATACTCATCGGTCAAATGCAGCTCAGTTTACAACAATACTCAGCCTCATGTTTACTTCACATATAAATCTGAGCAATGATCAAAAGGAATGTGTCGTACGAGAGGGACTTAGGTCATTTGTATGATGCAGTGTGTGTGTGTGTGTGTGTGTGTGTGTGTGTGTGTGTGTGTGTATGTGGTGTGTGTGTGTGTGTGTGTGTATGTGGTGTGTGTGTGTGTGTGTGAGAGAGAGAGTGTCTTTCCAATTTTGGACTCCTCTTTTGGAATCAGTCACTCATACTAAAGGATAGTATACCACCGTACACAAACATCTGAACAAAATGCCCCAAAGCGTTGAAAACTCTAGATGACCCAGGGAAACCAAATGCTCTGTAAAAGGAAGATGATGCTGCCTTTCATTCAATGTATATATATATATATATAATATACATATACGTTCAACATTAAATTTAGCCTAAAAAAATACTCTTTTTTTAAAGGACACTCAATGACACCAGAGCTGTCACGAATCGAGTCATTAAAAACTATAATTGTCAAGCTGTCAAAACCCACCTCTGGTTCCTTCCTATCCGAGACCGCAGGAAGGACGGACGGACGAGTCACCAACCCCCAGGGATAAGTCACTAACCCCCAAAGCTGTTCCTTCCCACAACCATTCCTCCAGCCATATTAATATTATTAAGTAGCCTTCAGCCAGTAAAACTAAAATTAGAATACAAAAAAAAATTAATAAAAAAAAAAACAACAGATGATGATGATGTTTTTTTCAACAAGATTTCTTTGATTGATGGGGCTCATGAAATCGCTGCTGCACATAAAGAACCTCGCAGAACCACAACAGAGAGTCAACCAGATCTTCAAAATGTTGGCACTTTGCAGACCTAAAAATACGGAAATTGGAGTAAAGTAAAGCTTTCGGTGTTTCAAAGTTCAGCTAAACTTTCTTACAAAAACTCACACGCGCTACATACAAATACAACATACATACATGCATGCATGAGTAAAATCAGGTACACTGGAGACTGGAGAGCCCCTAAAACTCAACATGTGAGGCGTGCTGACAAAATAAGTTACTTCTCGCAATTCACAAACTAAGATATTGGCCAAAAATCGACATCGGAGTCAAATTTGCAGATTTCCTATTGAAGCCATATTCTTTAAGTATAACCAGTCTTTTATTACGGTATCTTTTACTTATAAATAGTAAAAACTTCACCTATAAGCGAGATGTATCTATTTCCTTAAGGCTTGAATCCGAGAAGTAACTCATTTTGTCAGCATGCTTCAAACATGGTTAATCCCAGAACAGCGGTAAACGGAAAAAACCAGAACCTTCAATTCCTTCCTCTGCTATTCGAGTGATGATCTCTCAAAACTGAAAACATGACTACTAACCTGAAGAAGATCTGAAGATTCCGAATATTTCAGTTTAAACTTTAATCCTTCTCTATTCGAGCAATCTCTCTAAACTGAAAACATGACTACTAACCTGAAGAAGATCAGAAGATTCCGCACATTTCAGTTTAAACTACAGACTCCACTATACTTTTTTTCATCATTCATAAAAATCACAACAATTAAGATGGACAGGTGTGCTTCATTACATATCTGCCATTGGCTTTTTCTGAAACATTTCAGAACACTTCGTTTTCATACTGCAAACATAAGTGCCCCGAGTGTGTATGATATGTGAGGCAGCGTGGTGGATCAGCCTCTCGTCAAAATAATGAAATCGAAGAAAACAGCAGTTTTCTCCCTACATAGCAATTTTTATCCAATTTTTGTTTTTTGTCTTTTATGTCCATTTTTACAAACACATTCCATTGAGGATTTCACCGAAAATGTTGATTAATGGCACAAAAATACAAATTTGCAGTTTCCATTGACTCTCCAGCTTTGGAATTTACCTAGCTTTGGCGGCCATTTTCTCGTTAATTTTACCTCTTAAATCAGGTGACCCCCACCTCTTCAATCCAAAATTTCTCCACTTCTATGGAAGATGGATGGGTAATTTTTCCATTGAAAGCAAGATAAATGAACAAGCTTTAACTTAAGATGATACCAATAACTCAATATGCCCAAAAATTGACTAGAGCCTGATTCCACCACGCTGCCTCACATATCATACTTACACGTACACGCGTCAAACTCAGGCTCTCAATTTACCTCAATCAAGCACACACACACAAAGCAGCCCACACCACAAAACACTTCTGTTCCCTCAGCAAAAAGCTGACAACAATTTTTTAAGTATATATATACAAATTTGTGACTGTTATTGCTCTCATCATCAATGTCCTCAAACTAACACTGGCTTCCCCAACATCCGTCCATTAGGCACACTTCAAAAGCCGAATTGTTTTGTTTTACTAAGTGTTTTACGGCACTCGCAACACAATAAGGTCATATAAGTGCCGAAGATTAGAGGTGTTACAAGAGAGTAACATACACAAAAAAGGAGGGGAGACAAAGATGATAGATGTTTGATAGGAAAGAAGAAGCAAACCACACCAGAGCACCTGCCAACCAATCACTGAGTAAAATCGTAACGTACAGCTATGTGAACATAATGCTGTCAGTAATAAACCATAAAAGGATGAACAAGGAGACAGAATCTATTTAAAAAAAAAAAAAAAACCCAACAAAAGAACAAATAAGAGCAAACATGGTCAACAAAGCAAAATTCTCGTGCCACATTCCAATCCCAGCTACCTACAATCTACTGACACGATTAGGGTGTCACCGATCATGACGAAACAAGTGTAGTCCATAGGAGCTCCATTTTTTTTTTAACTTCCAGAAAACAAGCAAGGAAAGGACTACCCATGTCTAAACTTTTATCTCAGTATGTACGACATATCCTTTGAAACATGAGCATATTGTGCTGTCACAGGCCATAAAACATGTAGCGTACAGTGCAGCCTCTCTATAACGACCTTCGATAAAACGGTAATCTCTGTATAGCTACATGGTGCCCAGGTTCCACTTTTTTCCTGATATATATATCATTAGTTATATTTTCGGTTGCCTCGCTCTGTTATGACATTTTTTTCTGGTCCCGACAATGTCGTTATAGAGAGGCCGCACTGTATGAATGCAGTTGCGTTGAGTCGAAGTTTTCTGGCCATTTTCAAAACCACAGTAAAGTTCATCTGAGAGGCAATATGTGAGGCATCGTCGTGAAATCAGGCACTCGTCAAAATAATGAAATCGAACAAAAACGACATTTTTCTGTCCATTTGGCAATTTTTGTCAAATTAGTGTTTTTTTGGCTCAACACTTTTTTAAAGTCCATATAAAAATACATTCCCATGTGAATTTTATTGAAAAACATTGACCAATGGCACAAAATATGAACATCTTCAGTTTTCAAGGGCTCTCAAGCTGTAGAAGTTGCTAAACTTTGGCGGCCATATGTGAGGTGCGCTAACAAAATGAGTTACTTCTTCGATTTTAGCCTTATGGAAATTGATACATCAACTTTATAGGTGAAGTTTGTACAATTTGTAAGTATGGAAGAATAAAAGACATGGTAGACTTGAACAAAATGGTGTCAATTAGAAATCTATAAATCCGACCTCAGTGTCGATTTTCGGCCGATATGTCCATTCTTGGACAGCGAGAAGTAACTCATTTTGTCGGCACACCTCACATATTCTCGCTGCATGTACCTCAGAAAACAGGTGATCCTCACCTCCTTCAATCCGAAATGTCTCGACTTCTATTCAAGATAGATGGGTAAAATTTTCCCCGAAAGAAAGACAAATAAACAACCTTTTAGATGAAACCAATAACTCCATATTCCCAAAAGTTGACGAGCGCCTGATTCCACCGAGTCGTGACACATATGTTATGAGGTGGAGGAATCAGGCTCTCGTCAATTTTTGGGCATGTGGAGTTATTGGTACCTCCTGAAAGCTGATTTATTTGCCTTGCTTTCAATGAAATAAATATCCATCTATCTTGAATAGAACTTGAGATATTTGAGATTGAAGGAAGTGGTGTAGGTGGAGAAATTAGCGAGAAAATGGCCGCTAAAGTTTGGTAGCTCCAATAGCTAAAGAGTCCTTGAAAACAGAAAAATGACATATTTTGTGCCTTTAATCAACGTTTTTCAGTAAAATTCACATGGAAGTGTGTTTTTATACAGACATTAAAGAGGTTCAGCAAAAAATAAAAAATTGATATAAATTTACAAAATGGCAGAAAAATGCCTGTATCTCCGATATCCGTATTTTGACGAGCGCCTGATTTCACCACGCTGCCTAATATATATATGAGTAAATTAATGTCCATCTCCAACAGGGCAAGACAGAGAGCAATAGAAACTCCCAATAACAACCCACAGTTGAAACAACAACAAAATACTGACAGTGACATCCTTCACAAAGATCCACAACAAACCAACGCAACATCTGATCTCTTCAGGTCTTCAACACGCCAGCATTCACCCACCTGACACATCCACACCCATATTAACACACGTTATTAACACATAACAACATAACACGCAGGCCAGACATTACCGTCAATTATAACCATACAGTAATAGTAACAGTACATTTCTCTCCCTCTCCTACTGTAAAAGACACATTTTCTGCAGTTACACATCCCACAGAACTCGGCCACCTTGCACTTGCGGAGCCCACTAGAAAAAGAGGCATTGTCACAAACTGGAAATCTTGAGGAATCTAATTCCAAAAAGCTATTAGACTTGTCATATTTTCATTTCTGTTGGGACTGCTGGTACATCATTGTTAGTCGAACAAGAAATCAAACAATAATTATATCAAAGGACTGTTGAACAGAAATAAAGTTATGAGTCTACAAGCTTTATAAAATGATATCCTCACTGTTTTCATTCGGTGCCATATACCTGCTTTTTCAATGGACTCCCCATTTATAATACAAGTAGGTAGTAATACTAACAGCTAGCATTTGCAAATACAGCCAAGTTCCACTCCAAATGCCCCATCCACTTCACAACAAAAGATTCCACGACTGAATCACACCTATTCATCAACAGGAAAAAAACCCATAGACTGAATAAAAATGGCTTCTCAATCTCTCTTCTCTCTCCCATAAGCGCATACAAACCCACACACACATACCCACACACACTTTCATGCAAATGATGTTGTAATTACCTTATATAACTATAAAGCTTATTAATGAGCAGAGCCTTCCCCTCATAGAGAAGCCCTTGTGGTTCACTCGATATCCTGCCAACATCAACACCAACGGCTTTTCCACCAACGGGCCAGTCCCAGTGTTCACAGTAAGCTGCTTTGTGCGTCAAACCACGGTGCTGTGCAACTCCTCACATTTATTTCCTTCCCCCTCAAAAAACAGGGATCACTGTGAAATTTTTCGCCAACCACTGAACTTTGACGGTCGATACACTTCCGTAAATACTGTGTACCCCTCTCCCCGCCTTTCCTCATCAGTTTAAAAAATGCGAAATGAACCAAATCAAACCTCCAATCAAAGGAGAGTGCATGTTTTCTTTACTGTTTGTGACTTACTTTTTCCCCAAGCCGTCTCACTTGCATCCGGTCTACGATAGGCCGAGCTTAGTCGAATCCGCGGATTGTCGGGCGCCTTAGGGCCGATCTCTGACCACTCAAGGCCTACTGCGGTCCGACTTAAGGCTGGGGCGGAACGACCGCCGGCACGGATTCTGGGAAGTTCTCGCAACCACGGAAAACTGTGCTCCCTGCAACAAGCGTTCACGCCAGCGGCAGCTTCTCATTCAGACCACTCCCCACATCACACACACATCAAACAACACACTCAAACATTCATGCCACACCCTTCAACATATCAAAAGATAATACCGTGTGCGGCAGTTTCTCTTCCAAACCCCCCCCCCCCCCAAACACCACATATCAATTAACCATACATTAAAACATTCATATATCACCCCAACCTCCCACCCCCCACCCCAAGTCGCGATCAGAAGCTCATGTGCCGACTGTGGTACTGTGTGGCTCCTCCTCCTCGTCCTGTAGACTGTCGTACATGTCATGTTTCCACTCTCGCTCAAGACTCGGGTCTCTGGCCCTTTCCACAGAGCCTGAAACAAAAAAAAAGACAGAAAAACAAAGAACAAATCTCGTTACTAATAATAATAATAATAAATGACATTTATATAGCGCTCAACCCCAAATAAAGTACACAGGCTCTGAGCGCTTTACAATACAGTACAACATACAACAGTAACATGAAACGTGTTCTGACTAAAGAAAATTATTCCAAATATTCATCTTATCAATTTAAAAACAGAAACGACTTCAGCTGACATTTGAATGAATCAAAAGATTCATTGTGCTTGTTTTCAACACTTTCAATTCAAGTATAAATTTACTTACTTTCTCCCTATACCATCAGGTACATAAGGCGGAGAGCAGTCTAAACTCAAACTACAAAACAGGAGAGCAGTCGACGTCGCACTTGTCTGTCCCTGACCACACCCTCCATTTTCGACACATCCAGGCCTTGGGTGATTGCCTCATCCCTTACTGTGCCTTTATATCTTCCAGTTGGTTTTCCTCGTTTTCTTTTTCTAGTTGGTTTCCAATACCATGTCTGACAGGACAATCTTGTCTTCAGCATTCTTAGAACATGTCCTAGATATCTCCATCTTCCCCTTTTTATGGTTGTGTAGATATCTTTAACTCCAGCTCTTTCCAACACTTCATTATTTGTAATAAACTTATTCCATTTTATTTGTAGAATTCTTCGTAAACATTTTGTTTGGAAGCTTTTTAATTTCCGTTGAATTGTTTTGTTTGTTTTCCATATCTCTGAACCATACGCCAATACAGCCAAAATATTGCTATTGTATATTTAAAATTTCGTTTTCAATGAAATGATCTATGACTTCCATATAGTTTTTAATTTTACAAAAGCGATCCATGCCTTTTTAAGTCTTTGGTGGATGTTGTAAAGGCAGTTTGCAGTTTTGGACATAATGCTGCCAAGGTACTTGAAATTACTCATCTCTGCAAGGGCTTCCCCATAATATAAAGAGTAGAAATTTAACTTCACATTTTTCTACAAGACGACAGATCGTGCAGCGTGCTGCCAAAGACACAAAAGGAGAGACAAAGTAGGATAATAATAATAATTGCATTTATACAGCGCATATCCATGCTCAAGAGCATGCACTGTGCGCTTTACAACAATTATTACCCCAGCAGACCCTCTGAGAACACTCTGAAACATTCTCGGGTTCCGCGGAAGCATACAGTGCAAGCTGCGGATTTCACACGCTCAAACACTATCAAACTGACAAGATCGTTCACTGTCTATAGCCGGGTACCCATTTCCACCTGGGTGAAGTGAGGAAAATGTGTGCCAAGTGCCTTTCCCAAGGACACAAAGTCGGGCCCCTGATGGGATTCGAACCCACAACCTTACGGTTGCGAGTTTGAGAGCCTAACCACTAAGCCACTGACGATTAAACTGTAAACTGGACATGACCAGATAGTGATGTGCTATTTTTTATTTGTTACTGAAATTACTTCCCTAGCAGCTCATGTTGGGGTTTTTCTTACATTCGGACCAGGACATTTCAAGCAAAGGTATAACTTACGTCTATCTCCTGAATTCCAATTCTCGTTGAACTTGTTGATCCCCCGGCCCCTGTAGCCTCCCCTGAAGTTGCTCCGGCCACGACTCCGGAAGCCTCGGCCGCCGCCGTGATTGGCCCGGAAGCTGGTGCTGCCGAAACCCCGGGAGAACGACCTGCCACGCCCCCCTCGGCCGCGGAACATCTTGGGGGAGAGGTCTCTGTCGTCGTGCTGCGCGGGGACAGATGGATGCGGAACGGGAGGAAAAGAAAAGATAAGATAAGATAAGATACATACGTCGTTATAGTCTAGATAGATCCTGGCACATTGGTTTGGTGTTTCACCACGCACAAACATACACGCACACACACATACACGCACATAATATAAATGAACAGTAATACGAACAATATTAATGTTAAGCTAGATATATATATATATATACTCAGTATTCTGATTGTAATTCAAAATAAGAAAATCCTCATGGTTGGTGTGGGGGGTGTTGACTTAAACATTTTAAAAATATTTTAGTAGAGGGTTTTACAGCGCTCACAACTGCATAAGGTCATATGAGCACCAAGGGGTGGATGTCAACAGAGAAGTCCTTACAGGAAATCAGACTTACTCTGCTCACCTCTCTAGCTTCGACAGCACAAGGTCAGCTTCCACTATCAAGGCACCCCGGAAAAAGCGGGTCACAAGAGTGTGACAAACATACAAAAGAAGTAGAGGAAAATGACGATAGTAAGGATTAGGAAAGAAAAAGCTGCAGTTCCCTGTTGTAGTTCAGGCACAGTTATGAGCGTGACATTGTTGAATCAGCCCATTTACAATTCTACTGTGCATAAGACCGAGAAAAGTCTCCCCTTCGGGAAAGGCTTAAAGATACTTCAGTCAATGCCATCGCCCCAGGGGTGGGGTAGGGGGGGGGGGGGGGGGGGGGGTAAGGGGGGGACATTGGTTCGGTTTTTCACCAAATGTACACACACACACATGCAGCCGTAGAGTCACACGCATAATATAAATGAACAGTAATATTAACAATAATAACGTTAAGCTAGATACATACTTAGCATTCTGATTGTAATTCAAAATAATAAAATAAAATAATACAAATAGAAAATTATAGAATTCCACTTCAACAACAAAATCTCATGGGGGGGGGGGGGGGGGAGGGGGGAGAGTTGGGTTTGGCTAACAATGGCATGCATACATATTGCCAGCAAGCTGTTAAAATATATTAAGCCTAGAGAGCAGAATTTATCGAGAAAAAGAAAACACTGCTTCATTCTTTTAACAGTTGTGCCTAAATTATGTTTTCTTTTTATTGTTTTTTTCCCCAAACATTTAGAATTTGAATTTTGATTTTTTTTTAAACATGTCTGGAACATATTATGCAACCGATTTCAAAGAACAAACTGCAAAGATGAAAAGAAAAAAAAATTACAAGGAACTCTGACTAAACTAAATTAACGCATGTGAATGTGTGTGAGTGTGTGTGTGTGTGTGTGTGTGTGTGTGTATGTGTGAGTGTGTGTGTGTGTGTGTGTGGACAATTTTGAATATCACACTAAAAACTTTAAAGTTTTAGTTTTAGTAAGAGTTTTACGGCACTTGTATGGAGATTAGAGGTGTTACAAGAGAGTAACAAACACAAAAGAGAAGGAGGGAAGAGATAAGGATGATAGATGTTTGATAGGAAAGAAGGAGAAACCACACCAGAGCACCCGACACCCACCCACAAAAACTTTTATTTTAATTAAGGAAAACAAAAATTAATAAGAAAAATGTATACCAACCTGCGTATACTTGAAAGAATCTGTTGACAGAAAAATAAAAAAAGAATAACTATAAAAAAATCCTATGAAAAACATCAAAATAAAGACTTTTCCATAAAATAAGAGAAAGCAAAATACCGAAGCTTTCAATAACAAGAAACGAAGAAAAATGACATCAAGAAAACACCAAGAACCTACAAGGGGGGAAAAAATGTATCAGCTTTGAAGGGGTTTTTTTTTGTTGTTGTAGTAAATTTTTTAAAAAAATACTTCACCCTTCTTCACATAGAACCCCACCCTGCAAATTGAAATTAATTTCCTAGTTAATTCTACCGGGGAAAAAAACCCACACAAAAAACTCAGTACCTGCAACAATGTCCACAACCCAGTCAGTATTCACATCAATCAAGTTGTCTAATATATCTTATGAAAAAACTTAATCTCTGGCACACCTGAACCGATCAAGCAATAATATTGCATGAGAAATAATGATTTGCACGCCAGACATGGGATCAAGTAAATGGATAACTGGTTGAATTTCTAGTTTTATTATGGTTTTACGTAAGGTGCTCGCAACTGCATAACGTCATATGGTTCAATTTCGTCATATGGTTCAATTTCGTCATATGGTTCAATTTCGGGAAAACCTTGAATCCACATTGTGTGTTTAAGAAAGGCACGTTACACGATTCTCTCCTCTTTACGATGAGAGGTAAAAATTGTGTATCTGCATCAGTCACAGGCAAAATATTATTTAACACTTTGCCATCATATTTTGGGGAAAATCCAAAGAAACTCGGTGGTAAACATGGCCAATCAGCGAGATAAGGCGAACAAGTGTTAAGAAACTAACCTTGGAGATGATCTCCCATCATGTGTGCTAAACTAATGTCTTTAATGAAAGGGTTAGTGTTTTACCTTAACATGCAAAAGACAAAAGAGTTCGAATCCTGAGAGGGGGAGATATTTGATCTATCATGTCCAATATAATATATTCTAGGGTGAAGTACGTAACACAGCCCTGGGTTAATACTGGCAAGTGAGGTACAAGCTGCCCACCTTTGAAAAATCTACATTAACTCTTTATCTCCGGCAGGCAGGCCGCTCCCAGCGCCTCACGTTCGGAACCGCTGTGCCGGTGGGCTCGGATGCACTCCTTTACGACGACTTCGGCATCAAAATAATTTTAGGCAGTTGCCGAAAACAGTTCTCTTTATTGGGATTTCATTAATTCGATGAAGAACTATCGAAAAAGGTTCAATAGTTTTGATATAATCACCTATTTAGTGACGATTTTGTCATTTTTAGATTTAGTACCAAAAACGGGCCCCGGCATAGAGGGTTCACCTCACACAGAGATAAAGAGTTAAATTGACGTGGGTATTGGAGGAATTGTATTGCTTCTTTCCATGGTTTTTTTTACCATTGTCAGGTTATTCAAGAGACGAGACCTCCAAATTTATCACCCATAGCTTGTAGAGCTGAGCCAAAAGGGTGGAGAGCCTGGAGCTAATAGCACACCCAGTTCACCTCTTAAAGAAGATCTACATCATATTAATATGGGTACAAAACAGCCACAATCAATCAATTTTTCTTACGAAAAAAAAAAAAAATCTCTAGCAGTGTGGGCCCCAATAGGACTCAAATAAATATTTCAAAATCCTGTACATACCCCACCCCCCCACAAATAAATATTTCAAAATCCTGTACATACCCCACCCCCCCACAAATAAATATTTCAAAATCCTGTAACAAACCCCACCCCCCACAAATAAGTATTTCAAAATC